TTTTTATACATTAAAACAAGTAAATCATTATAAAAACAATTTTGTAAATAAAGAAAATAATAAAATATTTTCTCACAACTGAATGTGACTCATAATTATTAAGTGTTATTTGATGATTTTCAAGATAGACTACCTACCGTAAGATTGTCATTCATATACTTAATTATATACTTCTATTATTATTGTTATATTTGTTGTTTTTACTATAAGGACTAATTTTTACTTATTTGTCTCTCATCCTCTTTTTTATCAACTGATCAAAATGATTGAGAAAGAATAAAAATAGTTTTCATTCTATCAACCTGTATTTGTCTTCATTATTGTATTAGTTTCTACCAATTCAATGATGAAGGAACGAATCGAGCGAAGAAATTTCTTCTTAATTAGTTTTTTGTCATGGTTCTACACTTATATATATATATTTATATATGATTTACAATAATGAAATAATACTCGTCGAGTGGATACGTTACACACGAAGAAATTGTTTGGCATAGTGTCAAGAATTCCTTTGAATTTGTTGAGAATATAAAAAATCTATCGGTCAAGAATTAATTTTATGATATCTTTTTCCACTGGACGAGTATTATTTCATCATTGTAAATCATATATATTAGTGTAGAGCCATGACAAAAAGTCTAATTGAAAAGAGATTTCTTCACTCGATTCGTTCTTTTTTTCTTTACTAAATATCGAAATAGCAATTCAATGATACATAAGATTTTAAATAGTAAAAATGTAAATGTTTAGTATTCTCTAGTGTATTATTATACTTATAGATGAATTATAATAGTTTTAGTTCTTTCTTTAGATCACGTTGGTTATTAGGAATTAAGCCATTACATCAGAAAATATCATTCTAACCTAATACTTTATTATTAATATGTATACTGTTCATCATATGAGAACAAATATAAACACTAACGTTGCTAACTTTGAACAGTCCACCATTAAAAAGAGGAGAGTCGAAGGGGGCATTTAAAAAATATATAATGTGGTTAGCTTAGATACATTATATTATAAATTACTTAAAATTTGTAAAACACTTATTAATGAATTCAAGGAGAACGATCTTACAGAGTGGTAATTTTTTGTTTGTTTGAATGAATGAATTGACTCATCAGAGTTAATTGATAAATTACAAACAGATAAACACTAAATGGTTAATTCTCATTTATATAAAAGTGGGTTTTTTTTAAAATGAATATATGTAGCATTAATTCATTATTCGTTTATTTTTATTATTCTGTTGTTGTCTATATCGTTTTCATTTGGGTACTTGGTGACGTTTGTTATTTGATTATTATTATTACTATTATTATTGTTACTAAAAGAGGTAGTGAATCATTTCAAACAAACTTCGTATTGTATTATAATATAAGTTATGTCTTAATAGACATGAATAAAATGAAATTAGTTTTATTTTTCTGATATTCATCTGACTGTTTGTCATTCTCATGTCAAGAATTTTAATCTATTTTCAGTTGACTTTTATGTCATTTCAAATGAATAATATTTTTTTTATTATTGATACATTTGTGAAAATAATCTAAACGGTCAGATATTCCTTATTTAGCATTGTCATTATAGTGATTTCATTAGAGGAGATTATGAAGTTCTTGAAATAGTATATTTACTAAAACTCTTATTGAAATAAGAATAAAGTGAATAGGTGAAAGCAAGAGTGCTTATAATATCGAGATTATCAAGTTCACCAATTTCAGAATAGCTTATCACTGACGAGATATACAGAGGCTTTTAAATAATAAAATCAATGAAAATAAGAAGTAGAAATAAGGATTTTAGTAAGAAAAGATTAAGGAAATGAAAAAAAATTTTGGAGTATGACTTCCGTGAATATTTCAATGATAAAAATGTATTTTTACAACTGACTCATATTGATAACTGACTGGTGAATAACAAATATTTTCCATCAGTGTCATCATTACCCAATGCCCTATATTGGTATGATGATTTTTGATATGTTTCGAACTAACTGTATGCTAACCAGGAGAGAACAATGTGATAAATTATGACTAAACATGTATAACAGCACACTCGACCATAAAGTAATGAGAAGTTAACTGTGATGAACTATACCTAGGGTTTGATCGGAAGACATACATGTTGCTTCTACTAATTTTGAATCCTCATCCTAGTGAAGAGGTTTGATATTGATTTTAAATCCCACGTTCTAACGATTGGTGAGTAACGGAGAGCTGAATGGAATATTCTATCCACATAAACTTTTCAGATATCTGAAAGTAGCTTCCAGAATAATCCTTATTGCAACAACACCGGAAAACCACATTTAATGAACATGTTTATATAAAATTTACGATTTTGCACTAATTTCGAAATTAATAGAACTCTATATCAAATATCAAGTAAAGAGACTACTTCAATGACATTGAGATCTTTAGTTCTAGCGAACCATATAATTCATGTACAACGGTCATGAGATCGATAATTTGATGACTGATAAATACTTCCTCAGTGAATTTCGTTTTCACCTAATTTCTGCTCTTTTCCTCTCTAGTATACAGTATCTCCCCTGTTATGAAATACCAAAATAAATTAATGACAAACTGACAAGATTAAATCAAATATCTTGTCACAAACTAACTACATTAAACATATAAATACATTTACAATAAAAATAGACACTAACACACAAACAAAAATATGATAGGAAACTCTTAGCACTGGGAGAAAAATTGTAAAACTTGGTTTATTAATATAAATGAGAACTAGAGGAGACAAAGTAAGCGACACTATGTGAAGTTATGTAAGCGATGTACAATGCAACAACTACAATAATAAAAAAAAGGAATATACTTCTATTTTATATTGACAAAATCTCTAATAAGTTTAAGCATTATTTGTCAGAGAAATATATATATATATATATAAAGAGGAATATAAATAATCTGAATTAGCATAAGATGGTTATAACCAAAAAATTAAGGAAGACAGAAAAGAATACAATCTTTAATACATATATATATTAGATAATCTTTATTTAAAACAGAATCGTTAAAAAAAGTGTATATACTTCAAAGTGATAGGATAATGCCTAGAAATGATGTCGGGACAAGAAAACATAAGGAGAATAAACGAATAAACTTATAGTTCATTTTTATAAATTTTATAAAGAAAATGAATACAACAAAATTAGAATATTGCATTCACATATATATATTGGTATTTATGTACTTATTGACCATAGATTATAAAGCTGAATTTTCTCAATGTAAAATAATTATACACAGTATATTATATTGCATACTATAATAGAATAACCTACTCCTTCATTATCAATGGATGTCTAGCTAAAGTAAGATGGTGTTGAAAAAACATATGAACAGAATGATCTACACCAACTTTTTGTGCTAATCTCAATCTTAGTCAAGTATTTACGTATTTAAAATCCATCTGCTCTTAAATGTTCATAAAGTATTCAACATAGATTTATCAAACCCATCCAGTAAAATGACCGTTTTCTTAAAAGTGAATATATATATATATATCGGTTCGATAATGAAGATTTCCACGAGAAATATTAGCAAACGACTCTCATGAAGAGAATAAACTTTTGCTCCTTATTACCATAATAAAATTGTGACTAATAGAGAATGTAGATATCAATGATAAGAAAATGTTGAATTGAAAGTAACTTTAATTGAATTTACTTGAGAATTTTGAATGATTTGTCATTCTTTTAACAAAGGCTCATTAACCCAAAATAATTTAACTTATCTGAATTTAATAAATTATATAAGTAATCTCAAATAAAGTTTGAAAAAAATCAGTGTTCAAGTTTAATGTTCTTAGTACATTTTTTTAATTTGGAAGAATAACAAATTAAGGTTTTATAATTTAAAATTATCATGCTAACTATTTTGCATGGAGGACAACTGACAGACTCGTTCAAGGTAAAAACTGGTGTTAGGCAAGGTTGATTGCACTCACCCTTTCTCCTGGTGATCGACTGGATCATGAAGACGTCAACATCTGAGGAGAAGCATGGGATACTGTGGACATCTAGAATCCAGGTGGACGATCTAGACTTCGCAGATGATCTAGCTCGTCTATAACACACGTAACAACAAATGCAGTATAGCAGCAGCAGTAGGTCTCAATATACACAAATGGAAAAGCAAGATTCTCCGATACAACACAACATGAAACAATCGAACCACACTTGATGGAGAGGATTTGAAAGATGTAAAAACCATTACATATCTGGTCAGCATCATTGATGAACACAGTGGATCTGATACAGATGTGAAGGCGCGGATCGGAAAAGCAAGAACAGGATATTTACAACTGAAGATCATCTAGAACTAAAAACAACTGTCAACCAAAACCAAAGTTTTCAATACAAATGTCAAGACAGTTCTACTGCATGGGACGGAAACTTGCAGAACTACCACAACCATCCTCCTGAAGATACAAGTGTTTTTTAACAGTTGTCTACGCAAGATACTTCGGATCCGTTTACCAGACATTATTAGCAACAACCTATTGTGGGAGAGAACGAACCAGATACCAGCGGTAAAAGAAATCACTGGGAAGCATTGGAAGTGGATAGGACACACATTGAGAAAAGCACCCAACTGCGTCAAAAGACAAGCCCTCACTTGGAATCCTGAAAGCCAAAGGAGAAGGAGAGGAAGACCAAAGAACACATTACTCCGGGAAATGAAAATAGACATGAGAACAATGGACAACAACTGGATAGAACTAAAAAGGAAGGCTCAGGACTGAGTGGGTTGCAGAATGCTGGTTTGTGGCCTATGCTCCATTGGGAGTAACAGGCGTAAATGCGTAATTAATTAATGCTAACTATTTAGAGTAATATAAGCTTCATTAACTTTTAAGTAAGAATTGGTTAATTCATTGATGGAACTATAATTTCTTCAAAGTTTCCAGTGATGAATAAAAATATTTTTAAAAAAATGCTGATCATAAAATATGAAATGAATATATTTACTTACGATATTTGATAAGTTGTTTATTAAAATCCGTTAGTGAATGTGAATCTTTTGTCCAATTAGGTAAAAATTGTGTTTCATCTCTGTAATTAAGAAAAATGTGGTATTTCTAAATTTAGAAATGAAAAATTAATTAAACATTAACTTACAAAGTATTACATTGACCAAAGAAATGTAAGTTTTATAGTAAGTTTTAAGAGTTTATACGGACTTATGATATGAATTCTTTCACTAAAAATATTAGCTTATAATCACAGAGGTGTTATGTAGATATTATAGTAGGTTAACGGTTGAATTCATGAGTCAACTAAAGCTAGACCACCATGGAAAACCCAGAAGCACTGGACAGCCGTTTCGTCAGCAGTGCGCATTCACGGTCCCATAAAACCCGTTTCTGATTATAATCATAATATGCTCATTACTAACAATCTCCAATAGGTATATCCTGAAATTCTAGTGAGAAGCAGTGATCAGTGGAGTTCAACCGGGTCTGTTGTGAGATATCAGCTCATTGAAGACAATGCTGACGGTGGAGCAATTTCGTGAATTGATTTAAGTTAGAAATTAACACCGTTGGATGCTAGCTCAGTGGTCTAGAGGTTAAGCGCTAGCGTGAGAGATTGATAGATCCTGGATTCTAGTCTTACGAGGTGGGATCATAGACGAGCACTGATGGGGAGTCCCTCACTAGAGCGAAACATCCTTCCAGTGCTTTCAGGTTTTCCATGGTGGTCTAGCTTCAACTGACTTATTAATTCAACTGTTAAATTATCTTATAGCTAAGTGGATTTTTTAAAATAAATACACATTTCTCTCTTTTACTCATATATTAATTAAGTGGTTCCGCTGCTGTGCATATTCGGAACTTATCTCGTTTATCGTCCAATAAAATATTTATTTACCACAAACATTGTGAAGTCCTACAACAGTAAAATAAGACATGTAGCTTTCTTCATTCAATATATTTTCATCATATTAAGATTTTGTGTCGTAACAATATCAAAAAATGCACATGTACTTGCCAAACACATAATTTGTGATGGAATAAAGTATACATCATTCTTTTTCAGGAAACTAGATGAACATTGAAAACTGGGAATCACCGAATCGTTGTATTTGCCTTTGGTTGAGACTAATCAACAATACACGTTTACTGCACTACCTGAGATCAAACTCAAGACATTCAAACCGAACAATGAATGTGTTTCTTTTTGATTATCCAATTTTAATAAATACTTTAGTTCATAACATCTTTTTAGGTACTCAATATTATGGAATCGAAAAAAAGTTAGAACAAAAAATTAGTTTTCGTTTGTTTTCATTGATAATCTAATTGATGTCATTATTGACACAAAAACTATTTACACAAATAAATATCTATTTTTTTATTAGCCCATCATTCATTATCATGATTCTCTTTAAAAAAAATTACCTGTCAACTAAAACAATCATATCATCAAAATGTCATACTCTCAAAAAATTAGAGTCAAATTTAGTTTAACAAACTAGTGGCTTTCTGTTTTATCACTTGATGTAGGTGATATGATATGACTATTTTGTAGCTTAATGAAAATTTTGTTAACCAACGTTTTTAAAATGTTGATTTAAATAAAAACATAAATAAATAAGCTGAAAACAGAAAACTCCTATGAAGTTGTAGTCGTTAAGGCAACAGTAATACGTTTATTTTTCAACAACAAAAAATACCATCAAAAATCATTTTGCAAAACTATAACTTTGTAATTTTACAAATAGAATATGCCCAATTTACACAGAATATAAAAGTAATCCAATATATTTTAGAAATTTTTACTTTATTAAAAATGATTGGACTGTGAACAAAATAGAAGAAACTATGGAGGGGTGTGTTGTTTTATTGGTAGTTATGGAAATCAAAAGGGGTTTTGTTGAGATTTTTAGTAATTTCAACAGTTGAAATCATGAGTCAGTTGAAGCTAGACCACCATGGAAAACCTGGAAGCACTGGAAGGATGTTTCGCTCTAGTGAGGGACTCCCCATTAGTGCTCGTCTATGATCCCACCTCGTAAGACTAGAATCCAGGATCTATCAATCTCTCACGCTAGCGCTTAACCTCTAGACCACTGAGCTAGCATCCAACGGTGTTAATTTCTAACTTAAATCAATTCACGAAATTGCTCCACCGTCAGCATTGTCTTCAGTTAGCTTATATCTCACAACAGACCCGGTTGAACTCCACTGATCACTGCTTCTCACTAGAACTCCAGGGGTGTCTCTTGAAGTCAGTCACTATTGAGCAGATGATTATTATCAGAAGGGGTTTTGTGGAGATTTTTAGCAATTTCAATGATTGAAATCATGATATAGTATAAACGATGTGCTGATTGCACATTTAAATGTATGTTTAAATAAAGCTAGTTATTATTAGAGTAGTGCGAAAACAACAAGGTTTTCAGAGTGAAATATATTCCTTCTAGGTCACCACAAAAATTACGTAGACTAATATGGTTTTAAACAAAACTCTAACATACTTTATTTTGTAGGGTTTCGAAGAACATTAAAAAATGAAAGAAAAAAATTAGGACATAAAAAATATGAGTAAACATTGTTGAGATTGATATGTACTAATAACTTGAAAATGATGATAATAATAATCTAGAAGAAAGGGGCTGATGCCTTAGTTACAATTAGTTAATTTTTTTAAAAAAATGGACTGAATAATCATAATAATAATAAATAGGAAAATAAGAGACGATTGTCAAGTTACTCATTATAATTAGGATCAAAATCAAATTAATATATGCACATCATTAATATTATGCAAGAGATAAAAAATAGGGGTTAAAAGACAAACATATCTAAAAGAGTTTACTTATTTATCATTATAGTAATCATGGCAAATAAAGATTAATCAAGCTATCATTCTATACATATAATTCAGCTCGAAATTATTTGATGCCAATTATTTCAACAAAACAAAGTCAATGTTAGTTGTTTGTCAAATAATTTGAGTGGATAACTGATATTAAATTTATGCTCATTATTCATCAAGTAATTGAAGACTACACCTATTTAAACGTACTATTGTTTTTACACTGTTCAAATTAATTAAAGGATTTGGTTGTATGAAATTGTTAGAATACATTTATTACAAGATGCTACAATACAATGTGAACATATTAGTGAATTTTGTTCAAGATATCTAATCTAATGGAAATCACTATAATCAATGATTGAACTTATGTTATTGATAAGTGGTAGCATGGAACTTTAGATCTACTTATTTTCAATTGTTTAATGTATGTAAGAGATAAGTATAGTGGTGAACCTTTATATTATTAAAGGTATAATATATGTCAATCTACCTTTTGGACAATAAGTTTTATTTACTAGAAAATTATTTCGGATTATAAACGCAATGATTTGTAATTAATTTGCCCATTTTCTTGAATATGAAGTCTAGACTATATCAGTATTAATATTTTATATTATGAATATACGTTGAAATGCAGAAACATTAAGGTAACCTTCTCAAAACTGTTCTGAATAACAAGTCTTAGGGTTTTACAAATCCTACTGACATTTTACTAATAACACAATACAGAAATGTAACGCTCAATTGATCGTATACTTTCATGAAAACATGTGGTAGATTCCGTAAGATTCTCACGAAGAGAAAGAGCAGTAAAATTCAAAAGAATGCTATAGAAGGAAATTGTAAATAATCCAAGGAATAATAATCCATTTGGTACTGGAATACTGAGAACTGAAATCATCCAAATTTAAGAAAGTTATTGTGATTGATAGCTAAACAATTTAATATCTTAACTTTAAAGTTTAATAAATGTTTCCAGAGAGAATAACAATAATATGTAGAATAATTATTCTATTTTTTACACATCTTTTTCAAACAATGGGAAAGATGCGTTGGGTTCAAGGAAGCAGATAATCAATAACACTTACCAAATCTTTTCTATAACAGGATTATCAGCTTAAACCCTGATCAAAGTATTTTTGATGATTTTCGATTAAACGTAACATCCAGACATTTTAAATAAGAAAACAAATTTATTTCTAAACTTCAATTTATAACCGCCATGCATAAAGTTATCTATTTTTTCGAATCCATGCTTTACAACAGATTTCTTTTAACATGTAAGCAAATTTTAATAACAGTACTAATAAGGATAGATTATCAATTCAGAAGTAGTGAAATGAATCATTCAAAATAAAGAAAGACGTACATAAGAATGATAAGCAAAATAGTGAATAAATGTTTTTTTAAACAATCTTTTAATGATTAACGTTAAAAGTATTTAGAAAAACGATAGCAAATAAAAACAAGTAGTTATCACATTCAGAAGAATAGTAAATCTAAACATTTATAAGTAAAGTACCGTAGATACTTCCTGTTTAGAGGATCCTAGCAAACACTCTTTTCAGTTAACGACAACACTAATAATTCAATGCATTAATTTTAACATTCAGATAGTAACAACACTGAGTATATTAAAATGAACTCGATATTTTTAGCCTCTTATTTTAAAAAAAACATATATCAGGCATGGAAAGAATTGTAAATCTGTTGAATGAAATAAAAAGTAGCCATGTACTTAATGAAAAAGTTTTTTTTCCATTTAAATTATATCTTGACATTTCATAGTGTATAAAGTATGTTATGTTCATAATACTATTACCATCCAGGAGATATGATTTTCAACTGCGTAACAGAAATGATAATTATATTCTACAGACCGATAGCTAAAACACTAGATATACGACCGTTCGATTAAAGTTTTAAAACTTAATCCACCTACTGTCGTGAAGGAGACCTCTAGCTCAGGTAAATGCCTCTGGTTATGTTGCATTTTAAAAATTGGTTTGTATAATTTAGCTCTCATTATCATGCTGGACAATGTTTCATTGAAGTTACCGTTCGTGTTGTTGAACAGAATGCCAGCGAAACATTTCCAAATATAAACAACTCAGTAAAAACACTAATGGAACCAGAAGACAATCAATGCAACCTATTCTCGCACTAAAAATGTTATCCAGAGATTAGAGTGTAACATAATATTCGGAAAATATGTTGTATTAATGATA